CAGGCGATTGCCAGATGCCGAAGAGGCCACGCCCTCTATCTTGACATCTGCCGAAATCTCTTAAGGCGAATATGCGATGCGCTCGAGCGTTGGCGACGGGGTCAACGCGACGTTGACATCCATGCAGCTTCGGGCACACTTGCAGTCGCTACTTGTCGGGAAGTCGACCATGAGAATGAGGAGGAGGGGGAGGAGGGAGGAGGAGGATGAGGAGGAGAAGGATGATGATGCTGATGTTGCTGATGCTGCTGCTGATGCTGATGATGCTGATGATGCTGTTTATGATGATGATGACGATGATGATGATGCTGATGATGATGATGCTGATGATGATGATGGTGGTGATGATGATTGTTGATGATGATGATGATGATGATGATGATGATGATGATGATGATGATGATGATGATTATGATGATTATGTTGAGAAGGATGAGGATGCTGAGGAGGAGCAGGAGGAGATGGACGAGGACAATAATGAGAAGAGGAGGAGGAGGAAGAGGGAGGAGGAGGAGGACGACCAGGGTAAACCCAAGACGCACCACTGATGTTGCAATACACCCGCCCTCCAAATTCCCTCTTCGTAGGTCCCTACAAGAAGTTGTTTTGCGGCAAGTGGCCCATTCGAAAACGACCGTCTGATAATCCTCGGCCTAGCCAAAACGCAATTGCTTGGATTTTCACGCCACGGATCAACCTGACTGCTGCGTCTTGACAACTCTTAACTGTGCCAGAACATTATTCCTGGGACGCAACACCACGAATCAACGTGACTGCTGTGTCCTGACAATCCCCAACCGTGCCAGGATATCATTCCTGGGACTTGAACCGCAACCGCATCAATCCTTGAAACTGCTGCAGACGTTCAGGGCGAATGTGCGCGGGGCTAGGACGGGAACCACATTTTGAAAATGAGCCGCTTTCCATTCTGAAGCTTCTGCGCACCTTCAAGACGAATGCCCGCGGCGCGGAAGCGATAACCACATTTTGAAATCGACCTGCCTCCCATCCAGTAAGCTGTTGCAAACTTTTGAGACGAATTGCGCGGCGCTAAGGCGAACACCACATTTTGAAAAGGTCCTGTCCTCCATGTCTGGAACTGGTGCAGTTTTTTAGAACGGATGTGCGTGGGACTAAGGCGAGAGCCACATGATGGCAAGGACCTGCCCTCTATCCTTGAAGCTGTTGCATGCTTTTAAGACGAATGTGCGCGGTGCTAGGGTCAGATGGGGTCAATCTGGCAAACGCCACCGAGGCCTTCGGGGTGACAGATATATGGGAAATCTCAGGGGAAATCTTTGATTGGTGTTTGGGCATTCCCAAAATCTCTGGAAAATCACTGGGTTTGAAAATTTCAGGGGAAATATCCAAGTGGAGCAAATCTCTGCGGGGATCTCTCCGGAAAATTTCAGCGGTGCAGAAATGTCTGGGAACAGCTCCAGAACATTTGCAGAACATCTCCGGAACATGCCAGGGACTCTCCAGAGCATTGTAGGAACATCTCCGGAGTATGTAGCATGATCTGTTCAAGAAGAGTTTGTCTTTGAAGTTCGCGAGCAGTTTTTTTGGAGATTGGGGATTCGTGGGGAGATGTTATGAACACTGGAGGTTCGCAGGGCGATTTTTTGGAGATTCGCGGTCGGACCAGTTTGCCACGATCGACCCAATTTGGTGTTAGGTTTGGCCAATGCGGCAAACGCGGCTGGGTCCCTTGGGGTGAAGCATCTCCCAAAACTGTCCGGGGCAATCTCCAAACGGCGCTTGGGCATTTCCCGAATTCCCAGAAATCGCGGGGTTTTGAAATCTCCAGGGGAATGTCCATGGGGAAAGATTATCCAGGTAAATCTCCGGAAAACCTCGGCGGTGCTGACATCTTCGGGGACATCTCCGGGAAGTCATAACACCATCATTCGGAATTTTCCAGGAAATTGCTGGAGCATGTTTAGAACATCTATGGGGCATCTATGGAATACTTCGTTGGATCTTTTCAAGACGCGAAGTTTTCTGAAGTTCGTCGATTTTTACCTAACAGCGAAGACTGATAGGTTTCTAATAGGGTCAAAAGAGAGCATCATGACGCCCCAGGGGGGTCTGGGCGCGATCCGGGGGAGTGCAGGGGATTTTTTTTAGCCAACAGTTACACACTTCGTGGTCTTCGAGGTCCCAGAACTCTATTCCCGGGCCACATTCTGTATGCCCGGAGCCAACTGTAGGCCACTTCGTGGTCTTCGAGTTTCCAGAACTCCATTCCCGGGCCACATTTTGAATGCTGAGGCAGGCTGATGCTGAGGCTGAGGCAGGCTGAGGCTGAGGCAGGCTGAGGCTGAGGCCGAGGCTGAAGGCAGACTGAGGCTGAGGCTGAAGCAGGCGAGGCTGAGGCTGAGGCAGGCTGAGGCTGAGGCTGAGGCAGGCTGATGCTGAGGCAGGCTGAGGCTGAGGCTGAGGCTGATGCAGGCTGAGGCTGAGGCAGGCTGAGGCTGAGGCCGAGGCTGAAGGCAGACTGAGGCTGAGGCTGAAGCAGGCTGAGGCTGAGGCTGAGGCAGGCTGAGGCTGAGGCTGAGGCAGGCTGATGCTGAGGCAGGCTGAGGCTGAGGCTGAGGCTGATGCAGCTGAGGCTGAGGCAGGCTGAGGCTGAGGCCGAGGCTGAAGGCAGACTGAGGCTGAGGCTGAAGCAGGCTGAGGCTGAGGCTGAGGCAGGCTGAGGCTGAGGCTGAGGCAGGCTGATGCTGAGGCAGGCTGAGGCTGAGGCTGAGGCTGATGCAGGCTGAGGCTGAGGCAGGCTGAGGCTGAGGCCGAGGCTGAAGGCAGACTGAGGCTGAGGCTGAAGCAGGCTGAGGCTGAGGCTGAGGCAGGCTGAGGCTGAGGCTGAGGCAGGCTGAGCTGAGGAGGCTGAGGCTGAGGCTGAGGCTGAGGCTGAGGCTGAGGCTGAGGCTGAGGCTGAGGCTGAGGCTGAGGCTGAGGCTGAGGCTGAGGCTGAGGCTGAGGCTGAGGCTGAGGCTGAGGCTGAGGCTGAGGCTGAGGCTGAGGCTGAGGCTGAGGCAGGCTGAGGCTGAGGCTGAGGCAGGCTGATGCTGAGGCAGGCTGAGGCTGAGGCTGAGGCTGATGCAGGCTGAGGCTGAGGCAGGCTGAGGCTGAGGCCGAGGCTGAAGGCAGACTGAGGCTGAGGCTGAAGCAGGCTGAGGCTGAGGCTGAGGCAGGCTGAGGCTGAGGCTGAGGCAGGCTGATGCTGAGGCAGGCTGAGGCTGAGGCTGAGGCTGATGCAGGCTGAGGCTGAGGCAGGCTGAGGCTGAGGCCGAGGCTGAAGGCAGACTGAGGCTGAGGCTGAAGCAGGCTGAGGCTGAGGCTGAGGCTGGCAGGCTGAGGCTGAGGCTGAGGCAGGCTGAGGCTGAGGCAGGCTGAGGCTGAGGCTGAGGCTGAGGCTGAGGCTGAGGCAGGCTGAGGCTGAGGCAGGCTGAGGCTGAGGCCGAGGCTGAGGCAGACTGAGGCTGAGGCTGAAGCAGGCTGAGGCTGAGGCTGAGGCAGGCTGAGGCTGAGGCTGAGGCAGGCTGATGCTGAGGCAGGCTGAGGCTGAGGCTGAGGCTGATGCAGGCTGAGGCTGAGGCAGGCTGAGGCTGAGGCCGAGGCTGAAGGCAGACTGATGGAGGCTGAAGCAGGCTGAGGCTGAGGCTGAGGCAGGCTGAGGCTGAGGCTGAGGCAGGCTGAGGCTGAGGCTGTGACTGCGACTGCCGTTGCCACTGCGACTGCCATCGCGAATGCGACTACGACTGCGAGAACAGCAGAATTCTACAACAGTAATCTCATCTGAATCGTAAGGGGAGTGCTTCCAGATATGCTTCTACACATCGCTGTTAGGTTGCTTTGCCGGGATAATTTTTGAGCTTGGAGATTCGCAGGGAGACTATTTGGAGATTGGAGATTCGCGGGGAGATTTTTGGGAGATTCGCGGGCGGACCAGATTGTCACATTCGATCCAAGCGAATGCTAGGGCGAGAGCCACATTTTGAAAACGACCTGACGTTTTGAAAGCGACCCGTGAAATTGGTGCACATGTCTCATGCGAAACGCCTGGCCCGCCCTACCGAGACGTCTGCGGATGCGACAGGGATTTTTTTTTTTTTTTTTTTTTTTTTTTTTTTTTTTGGACGGGATGAAGGATGATGATGATGATGATGATGATGATGATGATGCTGCTGATGATGATGATGATGATGATGCTGATGATGATGATGATGATGCTGATGATTCTGATTCTGATGCTGATGCTGGCGATGATGATAAAGCTGCTGCTGATGATGATGAGGATGCTGGGGATGATGAGAATGATGATCATGACGACGATGATGATGATGTTGCTGCTGATGATGATGATGCTGCTGACGATGATGATCAGAAGGAGGAGGAGGGGGAGGAGGAAGACGAGGAGGGTTATAATGATAATACTGGTAATCGTATCACTAATATGAATTCGAGTAGTAACAGCACTACTACTATTACTATTGTCACTACTACTACGACTAGGAATAATACTACTGATCGTATATGTGTAACACAATAAAAATTAGTACGACTAGCAAGATTAGTGACACTACTATTATTAATAGTAATCATCATAGTAGCACTGCTACTATAAGAAACATTACTATGAATAGTACTAATACTATATAAGGAAACGCAATACTAATGATACCAGCACTCTTAGCACTAGTAATATTACGAATTATGCTAGTACTACTAGGAATGCTAATCTCAATACTAATACATTTCATGATCACAATCATAATAAGTTATTAGTATTATGAGCAAAGGTGATATTATAATCATGTAAGTAATACTGATCGTTATACTACGAGTAGTACAAACAGTGAGGAGGACGGAGGGAGCGAGGGAGGAAGGCAGGGATGGAGGGAGGGAGGGAGGGAGGACGAGGACACGACTGAAGGAGGGAGCCGTGCGACTCGGGAGGCTGTGCAATTGGGCCGCCCCAGTGGCGGCCCCGCCCAGGCTTCGCTCCCTGTGGAACGGCGGCCGGAAGAACAACAACAAGAAGGCCGACGACGACGGCCCCAGGGATGACGAGGCGGTCGGCCTCCCGAGGGGGAGGGAGGGAGGGAGGGAGCGAGGGAGGGAGGGAGGGAGGGAGGGAGGGAGGATGGGTGAGGCAGGATCGCTGAGGAGTCAGATCCGGAGCCAGAACAATCGCGAGGCGATATCAAATATTCCCTTCTCTCTCAGAGCTCCCCGAACGCCAAGACGGGCCATGAGCCGAAGAAGACGAAGACTATGCAGGACCCTCAATGATGACGCCATTTAGTTGGGCCCCCCCTCTCTTAGCTCCACGGGGAAGGCGACGACATGGATGAGCGCCACGACGAAGAGCCTCCACGCCAGCCAGAGACCTGGAATGCGTTCACCATGTCTCATGTACCTCCGCACTCCAATATTGAGTGGAAGGAAACACGTGCGTGCAGGACCCCACTGGATGCCTCACTGCTGCTTGCAACCATCGACAGGCGGAGCGGCAGGTGGAACAGGCATCGGCGCTGCTCTAGCCACCGCAGCCGTGGTCTCGCCGAGATTGTGGAACAATGAGGCGATGTCGGTTGTCTGGAAAGTATCAGCAGCGGCAGGCCGAGAAACACGACGTAGTCCACGAGGATCCCGTAGAGCATCGACGACTCGCAAAAGCTTCTCCCGCTCAGCTGTCCAGAGCGCGTCGACCTCGGGATCCACGCCGGAGGGGTCTTTTTGATCCAGCGCCCCTGCTGCGGGCGGCCTCGGCGTCGAGGCGCGCATGGCGGCGAACAAACGGCTGCCTTTTGGCCAGGCGCCCTGCTGGAAAGCCGACCACCCGCAGGTTGAGCTCCTCAAGCGGCACGAAGCATTCCGCATCGGACCTGAGCTCGAAGAGCTTCTTCACCGCGAGCCGAGGCGTCCCCGTCCCGCGTGGCGCGCCAGCAGAAGGCCCAGCGCACGACGAGAAAGCCAGCCCGCCACATCTGCACCTCGTGCCAAGCGCCTTGGGCGCACTGGGCGGCGCCTCGGCATGCTCCCTGGGCTCCACCGCATGCTCCGCCACCTCCAGCGCATGCAGGACGGGGACGAGATCCTGCTCCTGCTCTGCGCTGCCCGCAGACTCCGCCACCAGCGGCTCGTGACGCGCCCTGTCGGCTGCATTTTTGATGCCGCGCCAGTGCGCCGAGATTTCGGGGTGAACGTCGAGGAGCTGCTCAACAGAGCGTACCGCGTCCCCTAGACTGTGAGAATGCGCACCCAGGCCAGCTCTTCGCGAAGTTCGGGAGGTGGAGATAGGGCGTCGATGGCGTGCTGCGCGCGCAAATGGGCTGTGCGAGACTGCTGTAGCAGCTCGACTTTCGCATGCAGCTACTCCACATCGGAACGGGCCACGGTGACTCCACGATCCGCAGCGGCGCGGGCCCGTCGCTGTGCAACCGAGCGCTGCGCCATCGAACGACGTAGACAAACTCTGGGATCACCAGAGGGCGACCCCTCCCGCGCCATCCCAAGCCTCTTCAAGACCCTGCAGCGCCACACTCGGGACCGCCCGAGGGAGGGGGGTGGGCGGGATGGGGAAGAGGAGGGAGGATGGAGGAAGGAGGGAGAAGGACAGAGGGAGGTGAGAGCAGGGGTGGGGGGGGATGATATTGATGCTGATGTTGATGCTGATGATGATGACGATGGTGGTGGTGGTGGTGATGATACTGATGGTGCTGATGATGATGATACTGAGGACGATGAAGATGACGATGATGATGCTGATGATGATGATGCTGAGGGTGATGATGATGCTGCTGCTGATACTGCTTATTCTGATGCTGCTGCTGCTGATGATGATGATGATGATGATGATGATGATGATGCTCATGATGATGCTGACTATGATGCCGATGATGATGCAGACGATGATGCTGATGATGATGATGCTGATGATGATGATGATGATGATGCAGTTGATGCTGATGATGATGCTGGTGCTGCAGATGATGATGCTGCTGCTGATCATGATGGTGCTTATGATGCTGACTATGATGATGATCATGATGCTGATGCTGTTGATGATCATGATGCTGGTGATCATGATGATGCTGGTGATGATGATGATAATGGTGGTGGTGGTGATGATGTTGATGATGATGATGAACATGATTATTATGATGTCGATGATGATGATGCTGATGATGACGATGATGATGGTGATGTTGATTATGATATGGTGATGATGCTGAGGAGGAGGAGGATGAGGATGAGATGAGGATGATGATGATGCTGATGATGATGATGATGATAATGGTGACGCTGATGCTGATGATGCTGATGATGATGATGATGATGGTGATTATGATGATGATGGTGATGGTCATGATGATGATGATGATGATGGTGGTGGTGGTGGTGGTGGTGATGATGATGATGATGATGATGATGATGATGATGATGATGATGATGATGATGATGATGGTGATGATGATGATGATGATGATGATGATGATGATGATGATGCTGATGCTGATGCTGATGCTGTTGATGATGATGATGATGCTGCTGCTGCTGCTGATGATGATGATGATGATGGTGGTGGTGGTGGTGGTGGTGGTGGTGGTGGTGATGATGATGATGATGATGATGAGGAGGAGGAGGAGGAGGAGGAGGAGGAGGAGGAGGAGGCCGAAACCATTTTGGCTCAAGTCCGGAGCACGGAGGCTCAATGATTTGGATGTGGCAAGGGGGAGTCGCGCCACCAACAACAATCCTTGGACGCCCGTTTTCCCAGGACTCTGCGCGCCCTGTTTTGAGGGCCTCTGCTACGTTGCAGTCCTGTGCTGCGAGCACTCTCGTCGTTGTGTGAGCTCCTGTTGGAGGCCATGGGCAAGGATGCCAGACAGGTTTCCTCACATGCGCAGCGTGCGCGCACATGTGGAATTGGACAACTAGGGCGTCCTGCCACAGCTGCAACGCAACCTCGGTGCCCCAGGACATGCCTTGGATATCGGCCCCAGTTCGAGTCGTCTGGGCTCAAGGTAGAGGCGCAGCATGAAGCCGCACTGCCCACACGCCGCAAGGGAACTGACAATGGAGTGAGGCACCAGGCCGAGGTGCTCCATCCCGAGACGTCCACTTCACCCCCCAAAACGACCCCAGCGCGGTGTGCATCTACTCTTCCCGTGGGGGACCTGTTGGAGCATCACAAGGGGAGGTTGGGTGATCAAGGGGCAACATAGTTCAAGGCACTACAGAACTTGTGTGTCCAGAGCCCTGCCTCGCCGTTGCAGAACAAATGGCTCGAGGCCACCATCTACGCCAAAGGGACTTGCTTGCCGCAGGGCGCAGGCTCACTTCGAAAGCTGTGTCGCGAAGGAGGATGAGGCAGCGCAGTGGTTGGTGGAATGCACGGAGTCCACCAAAGAAACGAAGAAGCAACCGCAGGACGAACTCCAGCTCGAACTGTCCAGGGCCACAGCGACTGAAGGTTTGGGATCCCAGCCAGGCTCGGGAGATGCTTCGCTTCAACGCAGCACGAGGATCACTTCACCAGAGCTCCTTGCCGATGGCAGCACAAAAAGGTCGAGGTCATTGGTGGCGACATGTCAGACTTGGAAGTCGAGGACTCAGGAAAGAACAGGTGGGCTGAACTCAGAGTGCAGATTGGGAAAGAAGTTCAACAAACCATCGTTGACGCCATCGGCCCCGCGGCTGGCATTATCCAAGTTCTTCGGCAGCAGGCGCGGGAGATGCGACATCGGCTGGCTGCAACGCGACCCTGCAAAGACGAAAGACCACAACAAACGGCCTCGCAGGGTGCAGTGGATGGCAGTTGCAGCGGCAGTGCTGCTCCTTCTTCTGGTATGCCTACTCCAGCGACCCCAGCACCGGCCACCAGCATATCAAGCTGAGGCAGGAGCCAAGGACGATCCCGTTCTCGATTATGACGGAGAAGGGGTCAAGAAAATGATCGCAGCAACGAGAAACGTCGTGGCAAACATGGATAGCGCGCACCATCTTTACCAACGCGTGCTGAACAGACCCGAGCAGGGGCGAGCTTTGCGACATGTGCAGGCCACCGCCGGAATCATTGCCAGCAGCCCAACCTGAACCAGCCAGTGTCAGGCGCCAGGGTCTACATGACATGTCAACCTGGAGCACCATATGGTTTTTGGGATCTTAGTGAAGAGGCAGAGGAGTCTCACGAGACTTGGACGGAGTGGTGTGTGGGGGTCATGGTCACGATGCTCAACCTTGGTGGTAGTCAAAATCTTCGACAATCCTTTATCCGCAGAAATAGTCCGCAGGGTTCATTTTGAATTGCGTCGCATGCGGCTTGTCAGGAGACATGGACCAGAGGATTACCGAGGAGAGCGACTTTCTTGGTCACTATCAGAGAGTGCACGGATGAGCTTTGGCAGGCCTGTACCAGGGTGCGTTGGACGGAGTTGGGCAATGTGCTTCAGAGATTCAGGAGTCTGCTGGGCTGCGCAAGAAGAGCGGGTTTTTCGGGGCGGATGGCGGCTGTCGGGGAGCCTGAAAGCCAGGGGCCGGGGCAGATCCCATCGGGGGCTCCTTGCGGGCTCGACGAGGGGGCTGCGGACGCGCGGGTGGCCGCAGCCTTCTCCGTAGTCCAGCCGCCCACCTGGGCCGCGCATGTGCGGGTGGCCGGTGCCCCAGGGTGGCGCGACGACCCCCGGCCAGCTTCGCTTTCGATGGCTCGGCTCGGAGTTCCGCTTCGTTGCGTTTTGCAGACGCGGGGCCCTGCGGGTGAGTCCACGGGGGCCGTGGGTGGAGATGCTGTGTTTCAGCAATGCGGCGCCAGCGATGGCCCCGATGGGGCCAACTTGGACGTGGGGTGATTCCGCTGCCGAAGCAGGTCGGAATGCTGCGATCCAGCGCTGCGAGGGCAACGACGGCCCCGCCGCGAGCAGGATGGCGAGCAGTAGCCGAAGCGAGTTTACTTCCACGGATCCACCGCGGGAGGGTGGTCAGCTACTGTCAGCGGGAATGGTTGGTTGGAATCGGTGCTTCCAGCAGCAATGGGGGCTCGCGGTCGCCCTCGGGGGGCCCGTCGGC